TGTTTGTAACTGCTCGGTTTGGTCGATAAGCAGCTGCTTGTAACGGTTGTTTCCAGCACACGCCAATTCAAGACTTCGGCTATGGTAAACAACTGCCACCTGCTTAAGAGACACAGATAGCGGATATCAGGGTACAGTTGGGTTGGGCAGTTGACGAACAGAATACAACGAAGACCTAAATAATGTGAAGATGAGGTCTGGTGATTCAGTATTTGATTTTGATTTAATCTCGCTTTCCAAAATCTAGCCCGAAGTTGTGTCGTAGTGTGCTGGCAACAGGCGACTAGGTGTTGGATTGTGTGGCGGCGCAAATTACAGTTGATTCTCATGGTTAAGGTTTCTTAACGGTGAATCGTTCTTGTTAGAACTTTCGTATATTTCTTTAATGCTATTGTTTATTTACGATATCTATTAAATACGAATTAATTTTAACGTTTCTAAATGCCTGTGATGAGCAGGACGCATCGGTTATGGAGAAAGTGTCATGCTGGCTGACTGGATTTAGCCAAAAGATGGGTCTCGTGTCTGCAGAGAGCGACGCAAAAGTTTCGGTGGAACCAGCTGACGTTGCAGTTGCGGACCAAAGGACTTGCCTGGATTGCAAAGATGGTAAGGATGACAACGACGAGACTCCCGTTCTTGGCGCTCACGGTTATGCCATCGAAGAAGCCGCCAAGGCGGTAGCAGGTAAAGGAGGGGACGCCGGCTATCGGTCTTGCAAGTATCTTGTTCACAGTCGCCGATGTTTTCTTTGCAGGTCAGCTTTATGCGATGACCAACAAACTGATTAGTTCGATGGAGCAGGGTCTGGAGTTAAAAAACGTGCTTATCAATAAAGTGAGTACTTTGTTTTTCAGGGAATGCATATGATGATGACGACCATTTGCTTGTAGACGATTCTGGGCTCTTTCGAGTTAGAACAGGAGAATTTCCGTCGCGAGCGCGAGTTGCATTACTCGCATGCCAGTGCAGACTCCGTCGCTCCATGGGAAGATTGCTGCAGTGCAACCGACGCCCGTAAGCAGATCTTGTCTCTTTCGTTTGATCCCAGCAACTTCCTGCGCGACCCACCGGACGGTAGCGGTTTCACGTTCGACTATAACAGCTACAGCGGCAGAGCCAGGGGCGCTCTGGAACAGGACCCAACACTGCGCAAAATGCGCTTCGAACTCGTGCCAAAGAGGTATCTTCAGGTGTTCCGAGCATTGACACTTGGTGAACACGTGACCATCAGGTCGTACAGTGTTGCACGTATATGTTGAACACTTCTATATGTTCAAGGAAGTGTGCATAATGCTAATTCTGTGTATACGTTCTTTGCTTGACGCTAACAGACGAAGTAGCGCCGCTTTTTTCTGCATTCACCATCGTGAAATCCGCCTCATGTAATGAACGAAGGGCGACAAAACCAAATTTCCGGCACATTTTGGGGCAGAATTTGACGGAATTACTAACTGGGGGTTATTAACCTAACGTTAACTTTGCGCCTGCACTGCAGTGCTTTATAAAGCGGCAGCAAAGCAACGGCTGAAGAAGTGAATGCTTCACGCCATTAAACTCCAGTACGGCTATCGTTTGGCTTTATTTTGGATTTGGATTAAGCTTTGTTCAGCATGATGATAATGATTTCGCCGCGCAGGATTCAGGTTTAATAATTTTAGGTTTTCAGATTTAAGCTTCGAGATATTTTAGCCGGCAGACAGTGCGATGCCATTATAGCACGTCTGAAAAGACTCCACAAGAACGACACCGTCAGTGGGAACTGATAATCGGAAATTGAAATATCTCCTCATTCATAAAGAGTAAGACCTAGTTGTTGAGGCCGCAAGGTATCGACTAAATAAAGTTGGACTCTCGTCAACGAAACGCAAATGCACTGGAATTCTGAACCTCAGCGGATGAAATAATTTTATTTAGTTGTTGACTCTATAACCCGCGCTCAAGCCGGTGTTGCTGTTCTGGTAGAACCACACCTGGCTTACAGAATCATTCAGTGGAAGCCTGTCATCGAACGTATGACATCCTCTGACTGCAGTTTCAACAGTTTGAATCTCTGACCTTGTTACATGTCCGTGCGCTCAATTTAGATAAAGAATATGAGGTTTTTCTGAAGGAAATGCTAGGTGCTCTATACAAAAGTGCCAGCTATAGAATGCGTGGTTCTAATGGGCGATTTCAATGCGCATGTCGCAACGTACACTGAGTAGTGGATATGAGTAACTGGAAAGAACGGTCTTAACGTCATGAAGTTGTTGTGGCTTTGTGCAAACAACGGACTGTCCATTATTAACACCTTCTTCGAATTTCAGAGCGTGCATCAGTTACCTAATATGGGGAAGCTTGTGCACGAAATCGGTGATCGACTTGATATTCGCATCGTCTCAGTTACGATGCTCTGTAATGGACGTTCGCTTTAAGAGAGACGCACAGTTGTGATCACTCCCTTGTTGTTATTACCCTCCGCTGCAAACGATATAGTACCACGTAACAACCTGGCGACAGAATCAACCAGAGAATCAAATGGGAAACATCGTCTTTTGTAGATACGA